TCCAGACACATGAAAAGTATTTCCAAAAGTGAAGAGCAGCCTCCCTGTGCTGCCATGCACACACATGTGACACCTCTTCTCCATGTAAGGGCCAAGTATTTGGAAAGCACCTCATAGCTCAGTCCGTGAGCTCCAAAAGGCTCATGCTTCTGCTGTGCAATAACTGCTGGGTCAAATAAAGAACAGTGGACAGAGACAGGGCATCGGATGTACCTTCAGACTGATGATCTGGGCAGAAAGAGCAGCAGAGGGAGGCTGCAGAGGCAGTTATGAGCACAGTGGAGGGAGGGTAGGTTGTCTGCAGACAGGGAGGATACATATATCTGCGTGGATTGAGTAGGGTCTTGAATGTCAGGAAGGAGATCTAGGACCTGATATGAAAGGCAATGGGCTGAATGACTTGATAAAAGCCATGTTTTCAGGAAATCACACCTCTCTTCTCTGTCATGCTATATATGTGTGTGTCTCCCAACTGGAGGACCTGACTGGAATCCAATGCCACCTCACAGTGTTCCCTCACTCTCTCATGTGTGCACAGTTTTGCTTCCCCAAAGGAGAGTAACACATTCCTCAAGGGCAAGGACCCAGGTTGATGTTTCTTTTGAACATCTCATGACTCCCAGGATAGTAATGGGCACAGAGTAGGTATTTAATGCTTATGTTAAAAAAAAAAAAGTGCTGAATCCCTGTTTCTTCTTCATTCATATATTGCACGAGGGAAGATGGAGAATCCTAATTCCTAATAGAGGTCCTTCAGGGCAAAAGTGTAAACCTGTTTGCTTTCTGTCTCTTTCCCATCCCTCTTCTGTGTTTTTCTCATTTCCTGCTGGCATCTTCTTGGGTTCTTACCATAAATATTTTGTCACTGAAACTCCTAGTCTTTGATTTGCATGTCTGGAACCCAGATTTCCCCCTTCCTCCTTTCACCATTTCTTTAGGACCTTGGGGAGAGTATAATGTCCTTTTCACCCAGATAGTCCCTGCGTTAGATTATTCCCGATAATCTGCTTTATCTACTTGGTCCTCCCTGATATAGCTCTACAGCTCACATGAACACCGTTCTGATTAGTTCAAATCACCAGAGAAATAAGAAAGACACTTATTAAAGAAGTGTAGAAGGAGCTGGGAGTTACTACATAGTGATAGAAGAATTTTTTTTGACTATTCTGTGATTAAGAAATAATGTATACCCAACTATGACTTTGAGGGAGAGTACACTGAGTTTGGTTAGAGGTCTAGCCTATCTTTAACCAGAAAAAGATAACTCTGCAGGTCCCAGGAAATTCACGAAGCCTGAATTTCCCTCTCTCTCCTCACCCCCAACCCTTAAAAAAAAATAAGTTTATTTATTTATTTTTGGCTGCGCTGCGTCTTCGTTGCTGTGCATGGACTTTCTCTAGGTGCGGTGAGCAGGGGCTACTCTTCATTGTGGTGTGCGGGCATCTCATTGTGGTGGCTTCTCTTGTTGGGGAGCACGGGCTCTAGGCGCACGGGCTTCAGTAGTCGTGGTTCGCGGGCTCAGTAGTTGTGGAACACAGGCTTAGTTGCTCTGCAGCATGTGGGATCTTCCCGGACCAGGGATCGAACCCGTGTCCCCTGCATTGGCAGGCGGATTCTTAACCACTGTGCTACCAGGGAAACAAAGAATAACTTTCTTTTCCCTGGATGATGATGATGATGGTGATGATTATTTGTTAACTTTCTACAGCTTTTTACCAATCGAAGAAAGCCAGTCCAGTACTGAAAAATGTAGCAGAATGCCATTTAAAAATTTCGGCTATAAACACCTTAAGGATACTGGGTCCCTGAACCAGGCTTTTTTTTAAGTGAGAGCTGATATCAGAGGCAGATAAACTGCAACAGATAAGAAATGTGGCTTATAAAGGGTATTAACCCTGGGTATTTACATTTCTTTTCATTTTTTTCTTATATTGCATATAATGTAGTATTGGAGCTTGGCTACTATTTCTGCTGTTATCTTTATTTTTTGTTTAACAGAGAAAAGCTCAACTGATAGCTTCTAAGGTAAATTCCTGCTTTCTTCCAGTAGCTCAGTCTGGACTAAGACAAACCTTTCACCCTGTGTAACCTAAATTGCAGGCACATTGTGTCAAATTATCTGAGTTAGCAGGATTGTTCATGCAAAGCTACACTGTGAAGTAGCCATGCTGCACACTTTCCCCTCCTTTGTAGGGAAGCTGGAAGTTATATGTAATTTCCAGCATTAACTCCACCCCATTAACTCCCCTCATGAAAGAGTATCTTGTGTTTTTGAAATTACACAATCCCCACCAATTCTGATCTTTCTCTATAGGGAACATCTCCTGGCCCCCAAGAATCACTGCTTGAAACTAATGACAGTCTCATCCTTAAGGATTCTTGCAGGTTTAAAAGGGATGCTTGGAGAGACAACTTGTAGGATGAGGTTCCCATGGCAGAGACTAGCTGAAACAAGAAAAAAATCTATAACATATATAAATCTAAATATATATATTCTTTTTCACATTCTTTTTCATTATGGTTTATCGCAGGATATTGAATATAGTTCCCTGTGCTATAAGTAGGACCTTGTTGTTTATCCATCCTATATACACTAGTTTGCATCCGCTAATCCCAAACTCCCAATCCTTCCCTTCCCTACTCCCCTCCCCCTTGGCAACCACACGTCTGTTCTCTATGTCTGTGAGCCTGTTTCCGTTTCACATATATGTTCGTTTGTGTTGTATTTTAGATTCTACATATAAGTGATACCATATGGTATTTGTCTTTCTCTTTCTGACTTACTTCACTTAGTATGATAATCTCTAGGTCCATCCATGCTGCTGCAAATGGCATTATTTCATTCTGAAAAAAAAAAAAAACCTCTTCATTCTTACCTTCTAAAACTGTTGGCTGTTTTAGTCCCCAATGAACATATTCTCTTATTTATAAGATGACACCTATGTAAGGATTCTGGTAACAGGTTAGCTATTCCCATAACAAAGAGTGTGTATGTGTGTTGTGTAATTATTACTAGACTGAACAACCACGCATAAAGTACATGAGTGTGTGTGTGTGCATGCTTGCACAAGATTGTTAAAAAGCGGGAGAGAGGAGCATGAATCTCTCCTTTTTCTTATTCTCCAGGTGCATTGTGTTGAAGGAATAGAATTTGGGTTCTAAAAGAAGACTGACCTGCTTGGGGCTTCCCTGGTGGCACAGTGGTTGAGAATCCACCTGCTAATGCAGGGGACACGGGTTCCAGGCCTGGTCTGGGAAGATCCCACATGCCGTGGAGCAACTAAGCCTGTGCGCCACAACTACTGAGCCTGTGCTCTAGAGCCCGTGAGCCACAACTCCTGAACCTGCGTGCTGCAACTACTGAAGCCCGCATGCCTAGAGCCCGTGCTCCACAACGAGAAGCCACCACAATGAGAAGCCCGCGCATCACAACGAAGAGTAGCCCCCGCTTGCCACAATTAGAGAAAGCCCGTGCACAGCAACAATCAAGACCCGACACAGCCAAAAATAAATAAATTTATTTAAAAAATAAATAAAATAAGACTGATTTGCTTAAAAACAAAATAGCAAACAACCCCCCCAAAACTTTGAGTTAACTGTAGATTCACACTGTTATAAGAAATAATACAGAGAGATCCCTTATAGACCTTTTACCCAATTTTCCCCGATGATAACATTTTGCATAATTGTAGTACACTATCACAACCAGGAAATTGATGTCAATACAATCCTAGGGCTTTATTCAAATGACACCAGTTTTATGCTCACTCATTTTTGTATATTTTGTTCTATGCAGTTTTGTCACATATGTCATCTGGTTTTGAATCCCAGCTCTGCCAACTAGCTGTGTGGTCCTGAGGAAGCTCCTTAACTTCTCTAAGGCCCTAATTTGCAAAATGGATATAATAAAGTCTGCCTCCCAAAGGTGGTGTGAGGATTAGGTAAGATTACTCCTGTCAAGTTTCCAGCACACTGGATTCTCAATAAATGCTAGTTTCCTTCCCGTCTATCCCTTGTTCTTTCAGTAGCAAGGGAGCATTCTCCAGTTTCCTGCGGAAATAACCAGACTTGTGTAGAAATGTAGAGATGGGGGAGTGAGAAGCGGAGACTCTGGGGGAGCCCATGGAGTAGGGGTGGGGGGGAGGAGGCGGTAAACACCGAGCAATCATTGGCCTGAGCGGTACCGACTCCAAGGAGTATCCGTCCCGCGTGGCTAGTGACGGAGGGTTGGATGCACCCACAGAAGCCTGGATGGGGGTGGGAGCCTAAGAAGACATGGTGGGCAGGTGCGGAAGTCAGTCTAGACCTGGTAGGAGGGACGCACTCGCTCCATAGGGTTCAGAGTCAAGTCTGGAGCTCTTCAGCCTCCTGGACCCCTCTTCTAATGACCGCCAATGGGCGCTCGAGGGCTGAGAAATCCAAGGCCGCCTGGGGGAAAAAGAGGCACCTGGATCCCCACCTTCAGTCCCACGGGCTGGAGGCGGGGACTCTTCCCCGACCCGGAGACGTTGCAGGCCGGGTGTCCTAGGCACAGAGGGGTTTGTGCAGGTGCCTTTGGAAGGAAGGAGAAGCTATCCGGAAGGGGGTCGACCTCTGCTGACCTCCTCCATATGCGCCCCGGCAAGCACCGGAGCTTCCAAGTTCAAATCTCCGAGGCGAGCGCCCCAGGGTCACAGCCAAGCCGGGACCGGACTCCTCCGTGCTCCGGCCACCAGAGGCGCAGTCCCCGTGGAAGGGGTGGAGTGGGGGGGGACGGACCCCGCGAGGGCCCGGGCGGCGCCCAGCGCTCCTCCCTCAGCGGCCCCAGCTGCGCGGGCCGCGGAGGAGGAGCCGCGCCCGGGCCGGCGTCGCCCTGGCTCCTCCTCCCCGCGCGGGCCTGGCCCTTCCTCCCCTGCGTCCAAAGCTTCGGGTGGCCGCGGCCGAGCCGGGAGCCGAGCGCGCTGGGCGCGGCCGTCCCGCTGCAACTGCCGCCGCCGCCTCCGAGCCCCGAGTGCGCCCGCGGCCATGGCCCCCGCGGCAGCGCCAGGCGCCTGAGCCCCGGGACGCGGTAAGCGCGGGGGTCCCGCCCCGCGGCCTGGGGGTGCGCGGAGGCCTCTTGCTGCCCCCGCGCTGTGGGCGAGGCCCTGCACGCCCTGGCGGCCCAGGCACCGGAACAGGCTGGGGCTTCCCCTGCCGGGCTGGGGCCGGGCGGTGGTTGTCCCCGCAGGCCGGGAGCAGGGGGCGGCAGCGAGGAAGCGGGTGGCCCGGCGGCCAGCTCGGGCCGGGGCGCTCCAGGCTGACCCCGCGGGGAGGGGCGGTGTGGGAGGCAGAGGAGGGGTCGGTCCGGGAGAGCGGGCCGGCGGGCGGGGAGGATGCGCACCGCAGCCCCCAGGAGCCGCGCTTTTGTGAGCGCTGGCCCGTTACAAATGGAAATGACGCTCGCGCGGGTCCCCATTCGCGTCCTTTTGAAGGACGCCCGCCCTGAACCCCGGCGCCGACTGCGAAGTATTGTCCCGCTTCTGGAGCCCTAACAAAGCGTCCTCCCCCGCTTTGCAGAGCACTGGAGGCAGGCGGCCGGCTGTTCGGGCGCAACGGAGAGGCCGACAGAAGGTAAGCGAGGACGGTGGGGGCCGAGAGAGCTGCTGCCCGGGGACACAATGGGGTGTCTGGGTTTTCCGGGGGTGGCGATGGGCGGGCGGGTCGGGGGCGCATCTGCATCACGCGTTGCCGGGGACCTGGGCGGCGCGCCCGCGCTCCAGCCGCACGTCGCCTCCCGGCTTTGCAGCGCAGCCGGGTCTGGGCACCTCCGCCACCCGCGTTGTCCCCGCCCGCGCTGCCAGCTGAAGGCGGCTACTGTGTGCTGGTCCAGGAGAGGACTTGAGTCCCGGGGTGGGGTGGGGAGAGCAGAAAGGGTGGTTGTTCTGTTGCCTTGTGCCACCCAGGCACCCCTGTGACTGGGAAACTGGAGAGAAACCTGCCTGGGGAAACCCGAGGTGTTAGTCTGGGCTGAGTAGCGGAGAGCTGTTTGGACCCATTGTAGAAGGTGTCAGGGATCAAGGCACAGAGGAGGACTTTACCCAGTGCGACTACTAAGAAAGGAACAAAATGACGCTCGGCTATTGCCTGAAACCCTTGACCGCCAGACCCACGGAATGGAAGTGTGGAGTGTCGCGGCAGAAGCTTCCAGGGTTCCAGGGGCTGGGCTTCTGCAGCTACCAAACCGGTCTCTGACAAAAGGACAAAGCTGATGGAAACAGTTTACTGCTGAAAGCTCTTTCTGTGAAGCTGAAAGAGATAGAGATAGGAAGAGGCGATTTCCCAGCCTCAGCCCTGACAAACCGGGGCTAAGTTGGTGCAAGTAAAATGGAGCTGGAAAGATTGTCCTACCATGCACCTTGTTTCTAGACAACTTAGCTCTTATGAGATCTTCTGCTTTCTTTACATGACTGGGGCAGATCCCCTCCTGGTGTTGAGGAATTCCTGAGATGAGCTTGCCATAGAACTTAACTCCTGAATTTGTGAAATCAAAACGGATCGCATGGTTGTCTTTTGTGACTGAGGTGGAAGCATTTTTTAGGATTAGAATCCTAATAAAGTCAACCGAGGCACGTGGGCTAAGCTTCTGAGACCATGGAAGGTTCTCGGTCCCGCTCCCTTAAATACATTAACATAAATGTATATATGTTTATGTTTGTTTCCTGAGGATTGACAATCTGCAAGGATATGTATTTTTTTCTGTGTCAGCTTAATTCTGAGTCTTCCCTAGTGGCTAACGTATTGGTAGCTGACCTGAAATATTGGCAGGTCTTGCTGTGGAGTTGAAGAGGGATGTGGAAATTCCCAGACTGTGTGTAACAGTGACATGACAGGCTGGCTGATAAAACAGTTTGCTGTGGTCTTCTCAGCTGTCGTCAGTGTCCTTAGAGAGGTGAAGTAAACTGCTGGGGAGTTTCTTTGCAGATGTGTTTATTTTCACCTGGTCTCTGGTGATTCCTTAGAGGAAAGCATTCTGAACTGCAGTATAGATAAAGTGTAGGACTTACGGATGTTCCAAATGGATTGGACATCAGCAAAGATATTGCCAAGGCAGGAAACGGCTTTACAGGGGGCAATGGAAAGGCAGCCATCGCAGGCACGGTCTTTGCAGTAAAATGTCAAGGATCAGTCGTCTTAATAGACACTTACTCAGAATGGCATGGGTGTCTTTTTTCTTGTTCTTTTTTCATTTTAGATATGTGGTGACCCTTAATATCAAAAGATGTTAACTGTCAGAGGGGGAGAATAGGGCTCCAGTGAATTTTGAACAGCCAATCTTAATAGACAACGTTCTTATCATAAGTCACATGTTGTTCAAATAAATTGTTTTAAGTGTCACTGCAAATGACTTTGTATACTACCATTTCACCAATCTTGGTGCTTCCATTTTATGTTGATAATGAAAATACATTTTATCAGTCTTACATTGATAAAGGGTTGGCACATTTAGCCAGATCATTTTAGAGGGATTCAAACAGCCTAAAGCTTTTTCCGGAGGTTTATTTTTATAGGTGCCAATTCATTTGTAAGCCAATAAATTATGTGGTTTGAATTCTGGCTATTGAACTTACATCTGTTGGGCAGGGTCTTGTGGAGAGATTTACTGAAGCTTGCAAAAAGATATTTTTATCCTATTCACAAATAAAATAGAATTTTTAAAAGATTATGGGAATATGCAAGTGAGCAACTTTATTTGAAATCAGGACACTTTATTGCAATTTATATCAGCAATTAACCATTTATTCAAGCTTTTACACACAAAAATGACAAACTATTTATGATCTAATCCTCCCTTAAAAAGCAAAGTTGGGAAAATACTGTTTATAGATATGAGAAGTGCTTCATTTTTATACCCCAGGGAATGGTAGTCAGAGCTGCAGGCATTCTAAATTAATTAGAGTAAATATGGCTCAAGAAGTGAAAGTTGTTACAAGCTGTCTCTTTTAAGAAAGTAGCAAAAATGCAGCTGTTTTCTGCTTCCCTAATTTTACTTAGTAGCTGATTATAGGTTATTGAATCTACCATGTGCTAACTTAATGATTTCATTCCTCCAGCCATCCTGAGTTAATGACTTGATTGGGTAATCCACCTAGCTATTAGGTTTAACAAAAGCTTGGGTTTGCTACATCATTCAGGATAGTAAAATACTAAAGCTTATTTATGTTTTAGAATAAATGCTAGTGGGATACCCTTAGTTAATTTTTTCTGTAGCTAGCAAAGGTTGTTATTTTCTTTCAAATTTAATATGATTTTTTTCCGGTGTGGTGGCATTTAAGCTCTTGTGTTATATTTTTACACTCTGATTTTATTCTTGCTGATACTCTTGTGCTTTTAGTATCCAGCTAGAAGTGAGGTGCTATCTGAGCAGAGAGGAGGCTATCTGGCAGTAATCAGTTTGATGGGCAGCAGTTTTGGGCAGAAATATTCTATTATCAACACATAAATGGGGACAGCTTTTTCTATTAAGCTTTTGCTAAACTTGAATTTATTCTCGTCACTGTTTCACTTTGTGCTGAAGTTAGTCCAACATGGTAAGCCTGGAAATCTTTGCAGCAAATTCAAGTGTCTGCAAAAAAGAGAAGAAAAAAGAAACATTTTATTTTGACCATTGGCCTTATGAGGCTCTGACTTGCCAAATGGTGAAAGCTAAAGGCGTGAATGAAAAGCTTTGCCAAAGCAGAGTTTGTCCATGTTCATCTCTTTAGTTATAAAGTAAATTAGTCACTTGGTGGTCACTGCCTGGACTGTGGACCCTCAACAGCTATGTCTGGACACAGATCCGAAAGCATCTATTATGATACCCAGGGAAAGCTGCTGAGCCAGGAGGGGCATCCAGACATTCCTTGTAGCTGTTCAGCTGCTAGACCATCTGGAGGGGAAATAAAAGGCCTGGGCTAGGGCTCTGGCATTGTGTTCATTTATTATTTGGTTTTTCCTTGCCAGACTTTGTCTCCTTTTCACTCCCTTTGGGCCAGAGCAGACGTCCCCTTTGGCTGGTCTGCCATTCTTAGAAGCTCCTTTCTATACCTTGGATGCTGGAAAGTTCACAAGTTCATGGATCCACTTCATGTGGACCTTATGTTGGGGACTTCATTATCCCAGCAGCACCTCCACCTTGCTCTTTTCCGATCCCAGTTGGCACTGTGATTTCATCAGCCAGGGCTGCCAAAGGGAGCACAGTGACACGAGTCTCTGATGGACTTCCCTGTCAGGGTCTGCTCATTCTGGCAGCCTTGTTTTGAGTTATTTGGAAGGAAAATACTCTGAATAGTTCTTATTATGGGCGGTTGTTGGGTGGTAATTGTTATGATTAATGGCTCTTTGCATCTGCCTCTTATTTAACCATCCCTTGTTAGAACTCCAAAATATTGCCCACACTGGCCCTTTTATTCCAAAGGAGTCATGAAGGCTTCTGGCAACTTGACTGGGAAGGTAGATGGTGATGAGAGGCCCAGGTTTGTGGCAGGCTTTATAAAACTGGAATTGTCCTTGGCAATTTGAAGGACGATTTATCATTCAAAACCCAACTTCCTTCATCTCTAAGGAAGATTCCTGTCACTGGTGAGTGTCAGCTAGGCTCTGACTCTGGAAAGCATTGAATTGCACAGATTAGACATGCTTAAGTATTTGTGGGGGGAAGTACTTTAACAATTATCAGTTTCTGGACTGTGCCCATTATCGAAGACACAGGACTCTTCATAACCATATTTATGTCAAAGTGCTTGTCTTCTTTGCCTTTAAATCCCAAAGCTACTTTAGAAAAAAGAGAATGCTTATTCTGTGTATCCTTAGTGTCTCATAGGCTATAATTAGTCAATAAATGAATCAAGGCACATAGGGAGGAAGGAACCCCACCCCTCCTCCTTCCATTTTGGAGGAGTTTAGTTTATGGCCACCAAGTGTTCCATGGTCATTTCTAGTTCTTGTTATACCGTTCAGCTGGTTAACACATAAAAGTGGAGATAAGTGATTTGTCAGTGATACCGTTGCAGTGGTCCCATTCACATGTTCTGTGTGCATGTGAAGGACTAAGAGATAGTATAGAGTCAGACCAGAGTTCAAATTGCGGGTCCATGACCATTATTAGCGTTGTATCATTGGACAAGTAGCTTAACCTTGCCAAGCCCCAGTTTCTGCATATTAAATGGGAATATGAGATCTACTTTAAAGAATTAGGAGGATTAAATGAAAACATTTATGCTAAGTACTCAGCATAGGCCAGACTTAGAGTAAATGCTCAGAAGTTTTTTAAAAAAAAAGTGTCTTCTGAACTTCCAGCTATATTTCAGCCTTTCTGCTTTAGTTTGACATTAAATTTATCAATAATCTGCCTTTGAAGATTGAGGAAGCACTGAACATTACCTACTACTGTTACCATTTAGTAATATGATATGGCTTATATTTATAATATGTCCCTCGCCCATTCTTGCTTTCTGGGTTATGGCGTTCCACAGCTCCTGTTTTGCTTCTAGGAAGGCAGATCTATGACCTGTTGATGTATGTAAGTTACCCCTCTTCAGTTTACCCCTCCTTTGCAAATCGCAGGTATTTTCTTAGTTGTTTTCTCAATTCCCCTCTTGTATCAGCTTTCTCTGGGATTAGCCGCTCTTGCTTGCCATATTTAACCCTGAGAACAACCTTCCAGATGGGTATTATTATTCTCATTCTATAAACAAGGGGACTTGGGAAAGTATTTTAATACAGATTCTCCTCCAAAGTCATATCCCATAACAACAACAAAAATGCAGCTGAAAATTGAATCCACTGGCTTAATTACTAAATCGTAGAATCAAACTTCAGATGGCTCTACGTGGTACAGTTTGGCAGTGGGTGCTCGCTTTCTACTTATGCTTGGATATGTCTAAGACTGAAAATGCCTTTGAAAAGGGGTTGGATGGGGAAAGTAGAGGTATGCTTGTGGAAGAAGTAGATGTCTCAAAGTCTTCATATGCTCATTTCTGTAGCGTTCGTTCCGGGTAAGTTTCCTTGTAGGGAATCTCCATATCCTAAGTCAGTCCCTGATGTTTTACTGAGTCCCTGGTGTGAAGAACAGACTGTACTATGCATTTGGGGGAAGCTATAAAAGAAATTGAAATTGTGAACCTTGCCCTTAAAGAAATTTCTGCCAAGTGGGGAGAAAAATAATTCTTGCACATGAAATTACTGATGAACGCTTGGGGAATAAAAGCAGCCAGTAAAAATGCCTTATGTGCTAGAAGAGTACTGACAACTTGTCACCATATGTAACATCTTTTGGATGTTTCCATATGATCATTTGTTCTCCAGCGGTGGGGCCGTTTTCCCTGTTAAGTCAAAAGAATGTTTTACTGAGCACAGTTCTTGAGAAGCAGGGAGATGAAATAAAGAGATAACAAAGGAAAGTTGCTGTGAAATGAAAGAGGTTTGATTTAGTGGAAGTCCAATGACCTCCCAGAGAGCAGGGCATGATAGCGTATCAGATTCAAAGCTGTGGATAAGATTGGGACTTCTCAGTACGTTGTGAGACTTTTTTTTTTTATATTGAAGTACAAATGAACTTATTTACAGAACAGAAATAGACTCACAGACATAGAAAACAAACTTATGGTTACAGTTACCAATGGGCAGATAAATTAGGCAGATGGGATTAACAGATACACATTACCATTGTGACCTTTATGGTCCTCTTTCATTGGTTTAGATGGACAAATCCCCACCCCTTAAAATAATTATTAAAAGGGGAAGTGTTAGAATTCTTTCACTTTTGAGTTTTTCTTTTTCTTGTTTTTTTTTAAATGTAAAGTCAAGCAGAAGCAGAATAGTCTTGCTTTTATGACGCTGGTCAGATTCCAGCCCAGGGGACTGCAGAACTCAGAGGGTGAGTCTGAGAGCTGTGGCAGCCCTGAAAATCCCAGTGCATCTTGGGGATTCTCAGCAGATCTTAGGTGATGATGAACTGGGTGGATGCTAAGTGAATCTCATTAGCTAAGCCTTGGCCCTGTCTAAATTCCTAACTTTTGAGGCTTTGCTTAACACCTTGGCTTTTCATTTCTGATGCTTTGATGTTTATTTAGCACTCTCAGGTTATTTTGTAAACATTTACGTGGTGATTAGTTAACCCAATAGACCAACCCTGGGAAGGCAGCCAGAGCTAGCAGCACCGTAATAGAAAAACTGATAATTAGGAGAAGAGACCTGGGAGGCCAGGAGCCTGGACCAGAATATTACCTCTTTGCTTTAATGAGTGGCCCAGCTGTTTGGATCCATATTCTGACTTCACCTCATTCTGCTGAAACCCTTGGGATAGTCGTTGGCTCTGTTTTAGTTTGTCATGTTTTGAACAGTTGTCTCTGAAAAGAAAGCAACCCAGCTTCGAGCAGCACTGATGTGTTACAGAAGGCTCGCTTATTTTCAGGTCTGGCTGCGTTCAGCATCTTAACGTGTGTGGTTCCCATGCTGTAATGATCTTCCCTATAACATAACCTCTAAGTTAGAGTTTTCTGACCCAGGACTTGGTTTAGTTAAAGGTGTGCTTTTAAAAGTAGAATGTTGGTTGCCAGGGACTAGGGGAGGGGAAATGGGAGTTGCTGGGCAGCGGGTATAGAGTTTCAGTCATGCAAGATGGGAAAGTTCTAGGGATCTGCTGTACAGCAGTGCGTGTGTAGTGAACAAATACGGTACTGCATACTTAAACTGTTGTTAATAGGGTGGATTCCATGTTATGTGTTTTTTATCGCAATAAAAAATTATATTGGCAAGATAAATACTTTATTAAAAAGGTGCTGCTTTTTATAGTCAAGGGGCTGGTTCTGCGAGCCTTGTTTGAGATGGCTGAGGTCACCCTCTCAAGGGTATATGTTCTGTTTGGCTTCCATTGCATCATTGTGAAGGTACCTTCACATGTGAAGGTTTCAGGCTTCCGTTGGAAAACCCAACACATTAAAAGTGAATTATTGTGCAAGCAAAAAACCAGATTTCATTCTTCAAGTATTGAGGGACCTAGAATTTTATGATATATATTTTTAGCAAAAAAGATTCTGAGAGATATTGATGACTCTGTGTTTTCACAAATCCCATGAAATGTGGAAAAATGGAAAGTCTGGGGTTAGGGTGGATCAGAGAGATGGAAGACCTATTAACCAGGAGTACAGAGGGGAGACTGTCTAGGTAGTGGAGGGTCCTGAGATTCTGTGTGATTCACATGTGGTCTGTGGCTCCTTCGAACCTCATTGAAAGGCTGCAGTTGTGTTTTCCCCTTTCTCTAGGCAAGTAAGCATTACCTAAAACTCCCTGGGGCTGAAGCGAGCTTCAGGGAATACCCTTCCTGTCACACCTCATGTAATTGCACCAGTGAAGTTAACTGAGTTGCTTTTTGAGGAATTCATGTAAGAAGTGTTTGATCTTATGTAAACAGGGAGTGGTTTTGTATCAGACGTATTCATTCAGTGCCTCTTTGCTGCAGCCCTCCAGTCTGACTACGGTGGGGGGCAGTAGGCTGAAGAAAGAGAAGGGAAACGGCTTGGCAAGTTGCAACATCTGGCAGGTCCTCTGGAGCCCGCTGAGTTGCGTGGAAGCTCTGGCCCTGCAGTCTGTTGTGGCTAACGATCACTTCATTTGGAAGGACTGGATGTCAGAAGTGGCTTTTCACCTTCTCTAAGTCCTGAGAGGTCTCTTAAGACGGCTTTCTGTCTTGAGTTTGACAGACTGGCTGCCTGCCTGAGCGCCGGCCAGGAGAGTAGGGCACCTTTCTGCCCATGGGACTCCCTCATTCTGGTAACATTACCCCACCAGGACCCGACCCTGTGGATGTGCGCCTGGTGTGAGTGCGTGTGGGAGCTCCCCTGGCCTGGACCGGGTTCTGGAAGGACCTGTGGTCTTGCTGGGAGGTGTACAGTGTTACCTCCCCTGCTGACCCTCACAAGGTCCCGATGGACCAGCATGAGGGGACCGGGACACACAGAGTGTTCTTCCCAAGGGGCTGGCAGGGGTAGGAGTGGCTAGTGGAGGGGCGGTGGCAGGACTCCAGCGCTGCCACCACCCATCCCCCTCTCTGTCCCGCACAGGTGAGCGCTGTGGGCGATGGGATGGATGAGGCAGAGCAGGACCAGCATGAGGCTCGACTCAAGGAGCTGTTTGACAGTTTTGACACGACGGGCACCGGGTCCCTGGGACAGGAGGAACTCACCGACCTTTGCCACATGTTGAGCTTGGAAGAGGTGGCCCCGGTGCTGCAAGAGACGCTGCTTCAGGACAACCTCCTGGGCAGGGTAAGGCCTGGGAAGAGGCGGGGGGGGGGGGGGGGGGGGGGGGTTGGGAAGTGGGTGTGGTTTCTGCCCGGGCGCTGGGGGTGGGGCGAACCACAAGTGTTGCAACTTGTTTCTAACATCCTGGAGGTGTGTGCTCTTAGCTGTTAACCTGATAAACAGAAAAAAGAAAAAGGAAAAAATAAAAAGTAATGGGTGTGACTTAGCAGCGCAGTTTGCTCCTGTGATGAGGGCCTGCTTTAATTTGTGCTCTGGAATGAAGGTGTCCTCTGAGCCTCTCAGATGAAAAGAGAAAAAGGTAACAAGAGGATGTTTTCCAGTGCTTTCCTTATTCTTTGTGGATCATTTTATGGACTCCACACTCATCAAGAGAGGGGGCTGAGATTTCCATGGAAGTGAAGGAAAGTACAGTAAGAAAACTGCCATTGCCAGGAAGAGCAGCTTGCTGTTACGACTTTCACTCCCCATAAAGCTATTTCTCGTGAGGATTGTTCCTAGGGTAAAGTATTAATTAAACCTTTCACCCAGGAAATGACAGGAGGGTAAGTGCAGTTTTACTTAAAACCCAGCACGACTTGCTTCCAACAGGGGTGTGCATGTGTACTGATATTAGCTTTTACATACGAAAACAAATAGTCACGTTCTCCCCGTAGATCGAGTCACAGATGAGTAAGAGGTGAGAAGCGGTCCTTTTTTCCCTCTTGCTGTTAGTGGGAAGGATGTCTTGACCTGACAGTGTCTTCAGTTCTCATAATTAAAATTGAAAGCATCATTTGTATGGCTTTGAGTTGAATCTTGCTGCTGGTGTTTTGCATGATGAGAAGGAAAAATGGGCCATACTTTTTGAGCTCTGTTGCTGCCATCGCTGACACTTTGTAGACGTCCGTTTTTATCACGTGGTATAAATTGAGGAAGCAGCTGTGAAACTCAACTTTATTCCAGTGACCAAACTTCCTTTTCTTCATTTCATTTTCACTGTCTCTTAGCTGAAGCTTTGGGCAGGTGGCCTCAGATACAGTGCAGTGTATTGGCTCTCTGTGACGTGAGATGGACGGGAGTGGCGATCATCCTGAAGTTGAATGATGTTCTTGGGGGCCTGGCACCGTGGAGGTGGCATTTAACAGGGCTCACACTTAAAGAAAGTGTGAGTTTTTGTAAAATTAGAACCATTTTGGGTAACTTTGGGGGCATTAGCTGCTTGTGAATACACGTGATCCCTAGAAAAATGCTAAAAATCTTGCTTTGAAAGCAATAGAGATGGGACCTTTGAGAATTAAACTACTTGCTTCTCATCATGTAAGGCACTCAAATGTTTTCTAGTTCTGCCTCAATCTCAGAGACTTCGGGGAGCCAACAGAGTAGCGTTTCTCACTGTCGTCCTTGGGGATCTCAGTCCTTTGGGTATCTGAGGAAGAGTATCAAAGTGGGGATCTGTTTTCACACCTATTAAAGCCGGAGAAGACATAATACAACTTCAGGTTTCCTTGAGAGCCAGTGTAAATGTGGAACCCGCTGCTGTAAACAGATTGCTCCCTGGCAGCAGATCGACAGCTTGCTCTCCAGATGCTACACGTCTTTGCCCTCCTTTGGCAGACTAAAACAGGGGACCAGTTATCGATTGATTCGTTAATGACTTGACACTACCAGCCCGCCTTTAGGTTTGCTCTTCGCCTGCGAATAATGAATACCTAAGTGGTCTATAGCCTGATATTTACTTAGTGAGCCAGTGATAAAAGTTAAATAGACGTATGCATATAGATTTCATGGGGGAGGTCCCTGGTGGTTGTCTTGAGAGCAGGGTTGGCATGAATTAATGCACTACTGTTAGATTTGCATTTTCTATGAAACTGAATTATTCTCAGATGATCACATAAACTGGGCCATATGCTGTTAAGATACTCTGTATGGTCTACAATTTTAAATTATAAAGAAAAATCTAAGTTCTACCATCTTGATATATTGAAGAGGAATCATAAGTTGTAAAATTATAAAATTGTAAGCTGTTTCTAATACCAGCCGTCTTTCTTCTCTTTAGATGGTATTTATAGAAAAATATGTAAGAGTTAGCAGTTTGGTTTAATAAAAAAGGAGGAAGAAATAACAGCATGACAAACCTAAATATATTCATCTATTCGTTAATTCAAAAAATATGTATTGTGTATGTCCGGTATGTCAGCATTCTAATGGTCTTATGGTATGAGTGCAACTTATGTTTATTGTAAACTAAAGTTTTCCATTAAATTGGCTTTTGGAGCACATTAGTACCCATCAGCCTCCTGGATGCTTGTGGTTCTAATTTTGTCTTTTATATCATAACAAGTATAATTTTTAAATAAAAGAAAACATCTAAGTTTTACCTCCTTTGGTATTAAGCTGAATTAATCTTTTTTGTTGAAAAAGAAATAAGGTAAAAAGCATTTTCTCCCTCAACTAAGAATATTATCTGTTTATTTTTTATCTTAAGATCCATCTTTCATAACTTCTTGTCCTTTTTTTTTTTTTTTTTAAAGCCTAATGTTTCTTATGATGGTTGTCAAGGAAAGTAACTTAAATCGACTTGCCATTTTCATGCATTTTACTAATGGGCCATTTACCCTCAAATTAATCTGTCTGATCTTGCTTTATAACTTGAAACCATATTCCCCTGAGCATGGTGGTTACCCTATAAATGTTTGAAATGCCCAAAGATTGTGGATCACTGATTTAAAGGAAAGAGGACATTGCTGGTAGGTGTTTCCTACTAGGTTATCAAAAGAGCTCCATTCATATCTTTGTCATCAGTTAAGCACCTGTCAGGTGGGTCAGACCCCCCCAAGACAAGGGATTCCTTGAAACACTGAGGAACTTATAGTCTGGTCAGGTAACATTCCTGGCAGGTGAATAGTACTGGGAGTAAATACTACAAACATTTAAGAAAGGGAACCGGGCTTCCCTGGTGGCGCAGTGGTTGAGAGTCCGCCTGCTGATGCAGGGGACACGGGTTCGTGCCCCGGTCCGGGAGGATCCCACATGCTGTGGAGCTGCTGGGCCCGTGAGCCATGGCCACTGAGCCTGCGTGTCCGGAGCCTGTGCTCCGCAACGGGAGAGGCCACAACAGTGAGAGGCCCGCGTACCGCAAAAAAAAAAAAGAAAGGGAACCATGTTAGCTCACTTATTGAACAAGTTTCCATCCAAGCAATTAATTCCAATTGTAGTTGCTTCCTGTGTATTGTGCCTTTTAAAGGAAGTGTTTCCACATGCCTCTCTATTTCCTTTATTAGAAATCAGAACCTAAAAAAAAAAAAGAAAGCAGAAACTAAAGATGATAATTTACCTTGGTTTTGTTGAAGCCTTTATTTAGTTAGGTCCAGCTTTAGAAATACATTTTCCTTTCCTTATTGAATATACTGACTTTGAGACAAAGCTGCCCCCCCATCCCCTGAGCTTCCCTGCTCTACTCTTTAATATGAATCTAGATGCTGACATATTTCATGTTCTTGACACTCTTTAGAATCAGAACAAGCCGCGTGGTAGCAGAACTTACCATTGGCTTCCAAAGAGTCACATAGGTGTGTGGACTTTGGTCATCAAAGGCACTTTGGAATTTTTTGTATTAAAATTTGATAACTGTACAAGTATATAATTCCACTCAGCTTTTGCAGTTTTCATTTTCAAGTGCTTGTGTTCTTTTATAAACATCATGATTAATTGTATATGGCCATTTGCTGGTTTGTTTCCACTTCATTCAGCTTTTTAAGATTTCTTTCACTTACATACATTTTAACTTTGAAAAGTGAATCAGAAGTACAGCAGTACTTTCTGGTGGTGATTATTTGTACTTGTTCTCTATGTGCAAAACTACCCTTGATCATCAAACAGTGCCTATTTATAACCACCCCATGTTCATGCTCCTGTTTCATATTATTGATCTGGGCTTTTTGAATGAGTTGGAGGGAAAGGTGGGAACATTTCTCATTACATCTCTTAAATGTCTGAACCTTTGCCATCTATCTTACTGTTTAACCTGCAACAGTGAGGGATATTTTCTAATTCCATTTTGGTCTTGTGACTCTGTGGGGTTGATTTGAACTCCTAAGGGTCTATAGTTCACATTTATAAACAAAAAGACCTTCTGATTAAGAGGCTGCAAGACTTGCATCTTTTCTTTATTAACACTTTCTTCTCAACCTCACTGCAAAATTGACTTTGGTGTTGTATACTGTGAACCTCGCAAGGTATTTAGTTTGACATAAAGCAAGGGCAAAGGGGAGGGCTGGCCTTCCAGCAGCCTGTTGGGAAGGCCTTCTACTCTCAACAAGAGGTATGAGCAAGTGCTAAATGGCTGTTCTTCTCTACCTACTTTATTTCAATAATGACTGTCACTCCCACCAGAGAAAGTATGATCAGGAATGCTCATTAGATTTCTGCAGTATTTCATTTATACTTTTATGAGTAGCTTCTTGTTTGGATGGAGGAGACTTAAAGTTCTTCAGTATCCAGCACAGATTTTAGACTTCAGTGTTCATCTGTATGACAGAGAAACCTAGAACCCAGAACTTGGAAAAAGATGGTGACTTGTCTGGGGTCAGGCAACTCATTTGAAGCAGCATCAGGATGGGAACCCAGATTTCCCAGTCCCTGAGTTTGAATGCATGTCTCCACAGCCTCCTCAGACTCCACATATGCAAATATGGATCTCATTCTCCATCCCCTGCAACCCACCCCCATCCTCAAACTCCCTCCCCCACCACATGGATGCCGTATGCTATTGGAGCAGTCTTTGAATCAGACCTGGATTCAAGTACTGACTCCTGCCACTTTTTAGCCATGTATGTACATTATCTTAAATACTCTGAGCCTCAGTTTCTTCATCTCTGTAATGGGAAAAATAATATCCTCCCTATAAGATTGGGCTGAGGTTGACTTAGAGCATGTGTATCAAAGGCCCATCTAGGAGCCAGGAACACAGTTAACTACTGTGTCCTGTGTCTCCCTGTACACTGCCCCCCTCCATCTCTTACACA